TCTCTCTCTCTCTCTCTCTCTCTCTCTCTCTCTCACACACACACACACACACACCCATTTCTGCACTCTCTCATTATATATTCACCACAGATTCTCGACTGTCCTCCATCTCTCTACCACACCACACCACACCACAAACAAAAGAAGGGATTGTACAGTCATCACCCTTCTCGTCCTATACAAGTCCCCTCACTTACTCCAAAGCAGAGGAATAAGTTTTCGAGATAAAGAGAAGACAGGTAGAGACACAAGTAGAGAGAGAAGACGAAGACCTCTTGTGTTTTCTTTGCATGGTAGCCAACAATGTGTATGCATTCACTTTCTCTCTCTAAAGCCTTTCAACCGTATTGATTGAATGAGGCAAAGCAGCGTACATATGTGTCCACCTCTATTTATGCTTTCTTTGATCAGTTTATTGCCTGTTAACCCATAAAAAAGGCTTATGCATACAGTACTTTCTCCTAGTCTTTGACAATGTAGAAAATCTGGAGATTTTACAGGTTCATTCAAGCAAGCCCCAAACCCCCACCCCACTCCTTACTCTTTGGCCACCTAGGAAACTAGGCATCCACCTAGGCTGCCGAAATCAACATTTTTGAACATCGTATGCACCTATATCAACTTCATACATTCACTGGATTTGCTCATTGCCACCAAGAAAAAGAAATAGTGCATGTAAGGCAACGAGCAGAGTCCCCACTAGGAGAGAACTTATGATTCTTTTACACCATGTCACTTTTGACTATAGCAGAGGCAGCGAGGACACACCCTCACCTTGGAGCAAGTGCATGGAGAGAAACTCCCACATAGTAGTATCCCTATTCATGCATATGGTATTGTTATTCACATGGAAACAGTCGTCACTCACTAGGCCTGGACCTTGGAAAGATCACCGCATACTGATTGCAACATCACATTACTAGAGCCCGTAGGTCTGGTGGGGATTTACTTAATATCACATGCAGGTGGAGGAAAGGTGGCTAGGACAAAGGTAATATGGATGATCAAGGGATAGCTCGTAGGAGGGTAAATCTGTACAATCTCTCGTGGATGAAATTTCCTTTTCCCAATATCACCTACTGCTTTCAGACATCTCTTTAAATCTTCTAATATTTGTTCTATAACCCCCAATTTTAAAGATAATTCCTAGTCTTGGAAGGTTAGTTTTGAACTAACATGTTTCAAAGTGCCCTGTCTTTTAGAGAAGGATGGTCGGAGGAAATCTCAAATTTATAAGAGCTCATTTCCTAGTTCCTAGCTACTAATGCATTTTGTTGCCCAAATTCCACAATATACAAGTATGATAGAAAAGAACAACACATCAATAGTGTTTAAAAAAGCGGACCGCTCAGCGCCGAGGTGGTCCAGAAGGCCTGGGTGCATCGCCCAGGCCTAGGCGGCCAAACTGGGCGGCAGTCCCTGGGACCGCCTAGGCAGCCGCCCAGCGCCCAGCCCTGGCGGCCGCCTAGGGCCTGCACCCCGCCTATGGGCAGAACTATTTTTTTTTTTCTTTTCTATTGATTGTTTTTTAAATATAAAGGGTTTCAAATGATGGGTTTTAGATTCATTTGAAACCTAAACCCACAAGAACCCTTTTTAGAGAGAAAGAAACCTCAAGAAAACATATGTTTCTGACTTTCATTGGATCGAAGTGTTTCTCAAAGTTATGAAAAATGGATCCAAAATCACCCAAGTAGATTTGATTTAGTTTTGGAGTTTTATAATCCTTATTAGAAGGTGTTTTTTATTATTTTAGCACCAGAAAACATCTCAGATGTGGAAGTTTGGAGTTCGAGCAATCAAAGTAACTTGTTTTATTTTGAGATTTTTTCAGGATCTAGTCGAAGTGGATATCCGGGTTGGAAATATGGATATAACCCGAATCCAAATGAAAAAAATTGCATTAGATGCAATTTTTATGAAAAAGATACAAAAGGGGGCATAAACCGGTTTAAGAAACATCTTGCCGGCATTAAGGGAAATGCTGCCCCTTGTAAAAATGTTCCTGAAGCTATCCAAGAGGAGATTAAGTAATATATGAGTTTTGTAAAACAAAAACAGGAACAAAATCCTTGTCATTTGAATAGATCTATTTTTGCAACTTCTAGAAGAAGTGATCCGGGTTGGAAGTATGGTTATAACCCAAAACCAAATGATAAAAATTGTATAAGGTGTAATTTTTGTGAAGAAGATACCAATAGGGATATTAACAGATTCAAGAAACACCATGATGGTATTAAAGGGAATGTTGCCTCTTGTACAAAGGTTGTTGAAGCTATTCGGGATGAGATTAGACAACTTTTGAATTATAAAGAACCAGAAAATATCATGAAAATGAGCCTTGTTCTATGGAAATATCTTCTCCAAGTTCTTCTAAAAGTGGTGATCCGGGTTGGAAGTATAGTTATAACCCAAATCCGAATGACAAAAATCGTATTAAATGTAATTA